ATCCACATAGTTTAGTTTTTTTTTTTTTCCTTTAAATTTGCAAGGCAAAAATGTAGAGCCAGACTAAAAAGCTTTCCATACTCTTGAACATATTTTCTCTTTTTTTGCAAGTGAGTTTAGCAAATTTAAATGAAATCATTTAGATCACTGCATGCACTTTTATGGAAGAGTTTGTGAATCAATCAATTAATTCTTGGGCTAATCAGTTAATCAATCAATGATCAATGTGGACTATCTTCCATGTTTGGAACCTTAGTAGTTACTCTGAAAATCAAGTAGAATAAACCAAAATGGTCCAGTTATCAACCATTTAGTAGGCAGATAAGATGGACACACCCTTGGCAACCTTGCATGCAGGTGAAACTTGATCTGCGTCTTGAGAAAGGAGTCAAGTTTAACTGAAGGAGAGCAGTTCTAAGCAAGGGCAACAATTTGATCTAATAATGGGAGAAAAATAATATATCTCAGGAACAATAAGAAAATTCAGCACAGATTGCTTCTGGTCAGTGGTGAGAAATAAAACAGGATGGGCAGAAAAAACAAATAGTGGAGAAGATTTAGGCTCAGGTATCGGAGTTTACCTTGATTTTGGGAGATGCCAGAGAGATCTGGTTGTGAGAGTATCATGAAGACATCAAAGTTCACATGGTAGTCTAGTGAGTAAATTCGAAGCAGGACCCAAAACCTGAAGTCTACTCAGATCCGGTTGAGAGAATGATGATCACGGTGTGTAAGTTCGGCTGGGACACCCTGAAGGAAGATTTCATTGAGCCTGATGACTAGGCTGGTTGATGATCTTACCGAAACCTGTTTTTAAGAAAAATAAAGTGCAGCTTTTAGTTCTGAGCCTGAGCTTCCAGCCTTTCTCTTCCTTTCTTTCTCAGTAGATGACCATTGCTTTTACTCCTTCACATCTTCCTTACCCAGAGAAACCCTTCGTAAATGGTTGCCAAAAAAACAAATCAACAAAATAGCTTTCAAATATACACCCCCACAAAAAATATCTGCCTGCAAAAATGTCATAGTACAACGCGAGATCTGATCTTGCTTTCCCCTTTGTTTACACTGTTTCTCCCATCCTGAATATTCGCCCCTTCATCCTTATTAGATCTACTCGTTCTTTAAACCTCATCAAAAATGCCCCTTTCCTTCGTTCCTTGGTTGATTCCAGCTAAAGGTATTTGCATTTTGGTAATGAATCACCAGTCATAGCCCACCTTATGTTTTAACTTTTGTATATTATCTCATGAGATGTTTAATGAGTGCTTCTCAGAGGACAGGCTGTATGTCTTACATGTCTTTATATTTATTCTCTCTATGGTGTAGTGTTCTGCATACAGTTGGTAGTATAATCTGCTATTGTCACATTGAATTATTTATTTGGTGGCTTTGTCCTGGTTTAGGCATGTGGCATTTCTCGTCTGGGCTATTGGTACTGTCTCCCAGCTCATCTCTCTGCCTCTGATTCATCTTCCAAATTGCCACCCAAGTCATTTTCATACATTTTAATTGAGATGGATATTTATTGCCTCAGGATAAAATCCCAACCTTTAATATTCAAAACCCTCTATCACCTGGTCCTGGGCTATTCTTCTATACCCTTCCTGGGCCTTATCCTCCACAAAGAGTGTGGTCTGGTCATGCTGGATCATGGGCCCCAAATGGTTAATAATCAGGTCTTTGTTTAATCTTATCACCTTAGGCTACCATGTACTTCTTACCCTGAAGGTGATTCTTTTTTTTCATTCTTCAGGTCACGGTAGAAGCTCTTTTGGTCTATTATTGTCACTTCAGGCAGCTCCAAGCTACTCCTCAGCTAGAATGCCAAAAACAAGATAAACCTCATTTCTTTGCCATTGACAACAACATAGAAACTTGTTTCCCAAAGTTGTCAAAAGGCATCTAAGACAGCACACAGAAATCTCTGTATAGGTCAAAGCTCACTGTTTAATAGTGGCCATGTTCTCCATAAAGTCAGACTACCTCCTTTTTTATCTGGCTTTTTGGGATAACACAGGAAAACAAAGTTAGAAATAGGGTGGTGCCTGATATAAGACGGGGCTTTTCTAGTACAAATGCACAATGCATCCCCGTCTGTAAGAAACTCATTGCCAGCACTGATCAAACATTGTGGTAAAACAAACCAACCCTCTCCCAAAGCCCCATTTCCTATGAAATTTTGAGTGATCGCTTTAAGCCATCTCACTGAAACTCATATATTGCCTCTCTGTGCTCACATGACAGATAATACACAATTTCTTCTATTTTTTCCTCATGAAATTGCTGTAGTTAGAAATGCTCCTGAGAGGGGCGCCTGGGTGGCGCAGTCCGTTAAGCGTCCGACTTCAGCCAGGTCACGATCTCGCGGTCCGGGAGTTCGAGCCCCGCGTCGGGCTCTGGGCTGATGACTCAGAGCCTGGAGCCTGTTTCCGATTCTGTGTCTCCCTCTCTCTCTGCCCCTCCCCTGTTCATGCTCTGTCTCTCTCTGTCCCAAAAATAAATAAACGTTGAAAAAAAAATTAAAAAAAAAAAAAAAAGAAATGCTCCTGAGGTTAAAATATATGAAAATATGAAATATAATCAAAATAAATAGCCTCTAGATCCAAAATGTATGAACTCTGAGAAACTGGAACATTAAGTGATATTTATTTGTGGAGGTATGTGGCTTCCAATCTTAAATCTATTTCTGTTTGTTCCACACTAGAGAACATTGGAAAATACCACCTGAAAAAAGCCTGTGCTTTTAGCAGCCATGAAAAAGTCAAAACTTTTGTTTTTTGTTGCCGTAATCTGGCTTCTCCCTCAATTAGAGACGAAAAGTTACAGAGAACATGCTGAGTAAGAGGTCTTTACTTTTTGCCAAGGGAAAAACTCTGCAGGTATTTTCAGACATTTGAGCCAATGGGCCTTTTAAAATCTTGTATTTATTTCCTTGTGCATTGGTAGATACTTCTTGTTTCACCAAAATTTGCTTACAAGACCTTTTAATACTCCTTCATTTAGTCAATAGTGATTTACTCAACTTCCACTGCGTGCCAGGCAAGGTGCCAAGTGTTGGGATTCAGCAGCGAGCAGAAAAAGACACAGCCCTCAAGTTGTGCTATCCACAATCTGGGGGAGAAGTCAGAGAATTATCAAATAATCATACAAATTAATGAGAACTTTATTAAGACTCTAAATTAGAGAACCTGGTGCTAGGAGAATGCCTAAAAAGGGATCTGACCTCGGTAAGGAGGTCAGGGAGGGTACCCCTGGGGAAGCGACAATTTCACTGACCTATGAATGATGAATAAGAACTAGAATTGCATTCCACACGGAGGGACTATTACGTGCAAAGGTCCTGTGGGACCAGAGGCAGGCATCTGCAAGGGAATAGAAGTATGCCAGTGTGTCCAGCAGAGAGAGCTGGGGAAACATGGCAAAGACAAAGTTGGAGTGGAAGAAGGGGTCAAACCATGCAAGGGGTTTGGCCATATTAGGGATAATACCTTTAATTCTAATTGTTTGGAAGACCTGTCAAGGGTTTATAAGCAAGAAGACACAAGATCAGGCTTATGTTTTGAAAAAAATTCCCCGAGTTTAAAAGCAGGGGACACGTGGGGCTGTGGGTAAGAATGAGGGGAGTTGAGACCATCACAGTTGTGCAGGCATCAGGTGTTGGCATCTTTGATCAGGGTGGCCACGGAAAGCAGGCTAGAACTATATTTGAGGTAAAATAAATAGGACTTGGTGACAAGTTGAATATATGGCATGACTGCTGAGTTTCTCTGTTGGCCAAAACTTTTCCAAATAAAGGCTGTGCAGATATGACATATTTATTTGCTTAAGAAATGTCTCTTTCAATGACCCCTCACATTCATTTATTCAACAACTATTTACAGAGCACCTATTATGTGTTATCCTGGCTGCTGGTGACGGAGTGGACGAGGTAGTCTTTCATGGAGCTAATGCCTGCTGGTACCAGAAACTTTGGCTAAAATGAAAATTAGTGCAAACACCATGAAAACCATATTTAAACTATGGGGGGGGGGGGGACATGTCAATTTTTCTTTTGGCAAATCAGAATGCTTTTATAGGTACTTTACAATTTCTAAAGCCCCTTACTACCTCACAGGCAGTGGGAAGGTATAAATTGGGGAACCAGGGAAGATGAGGACTCCCAAGATCATGAAGCTATGAGAAATTATTACTTCAGCTCAGGTTTTGCAAATCTAAGATGAGGGCTCTCACACCTTTCCAGAATTAAGGCTGTGATCAAGGAGGTTGGAAGAGAAGCCTACAGAAGTGTATTCCTTTTTTAAATAACCATTTGATTAAGTTTAAGAAACAAAAGTGTGCTTGCCTTCATCATTGACAAAGTAACCTAACCAGATTCTTTACTGGCCAGATGAAGGCAGGTGAATCAGGAAGGTCTTGATTTTGTATCAATCATGGAAGTGAGCAGTTGCAGGCATGCATCTTGGAAGTTCATGCCAGTACCCTGTGGGGGGCACTCAGAACCAAGGAAAATAAAAAAGGCAGGCCTATATTCACCTTCTTTGGATTCTTTTTTTCACTTGAGAAGCTGAGTTATGTGAATAATTCTGGTGTTTTGTGTCCATTACATTATTTCACTTTTGATACTTACCTGGCCTTTACTAGATACCCATGAAGGGCTTTAAGGTCATGCCTTTTGTTAGCAAGAAGCTTGATTTTTTTTTTACAAGATTGTATTAGAAATTTTGATCCCAGGGTGGTTCTAAGGAGGTGGTCTGACTTTTCTTGGTCCACATACTGCTTATTAGGTTTAAAAAAAGAGGTAATTGCAGGGAAGACATACTCCTCTCACTTCTCATTTCTGAGCACTGTCAATTCTCAATGAACTGGCACATCACCTATGATCTCTTTCTCTCTTTACTGGAAAGAAGTGTCCCTTGTATCTGCCATTTTTCCAACTTAGCCAACCCCCCAACCACAAAAACAAGAAACAAAAAACAAAACTCTTACATCTGAGCCAAATATTCAATGACATTAATTATCAAAATTAATTTATTAAAAGTATTCAAAGACCACGTCAAAGTTTAGCTGCCTTCAGGACAATTTTTGGCACTCAAAATGGACAATGTAGTTTTCTACACAGCAACACTCATTCTATTACACACACCATTTAACAATTCAAACATAGACCATTTCAGTTTTAGTGTTATATGAGATAACAGTACTGATGATCTGTAGTCATAAGAACTTCAACACCCTTGCACACAGTAAACATTTTAATATTACTTACTCGTAAATAACTAAAACTAAAACCACTATGTGGTAACATGGACTGGTTTAGGGAAAGATATACAGCCAGCTAGCTAAGGCCACATAATCCCAGATCTATTGATTTTAAATGCTCTTGGACCAACAGTATCGTATCATACCTTTTATGAGAACTTTTAGCCTCACGTTCCTCTCTTTCCAGTGTGAGACACACCACATTTAGACCACTTTCTCCCTGTGTTTCTGACATGGCTATGGAAGCCGTCAGAATACAAGCTTCTCCTAGACAGTTACCAGCTTCCTGATTCACTATCTAACTCTGAATCAATAGTTCTGAGTGATGTTTCCTGAACACCCAGGCTAAATTCAAGGTCAGTCTTTTTGGCAGGTCACAGCCTGTCCCCTTAGGAAAAAAATGAAACGTCCTCCACTTTTGGGCTCCCTTTTTCAGCTCATGTAGCATGGGACTCTGTGGTGATCTGTGGCTTTTTACACAAGTCCTGGTAGAATTCCGACTCCAAGAAACGAGGATAAGAGTTGTTCTCCATCAAGCTGTAGACCCTTTTCTGGGCAGTTGTAAAGCAGCCACTTGTAGCCTCTTGTATATTTTGGGCAATCAGAGTTTTGGTTTGAAAGTCTATGTTTATCTGAAATTAAAAAAAAAAAAAGTGGTTTAATCCATATTCAGAGTTATAGATTGATGCCGGCTTAATATTTGAAAACAAAAAGGAAAAGCTATAATGTGTGATTAGCCTCACTAGCCAAGTCATTGAAGAAATTAAATTCACCTAACTGAAAACAAGAATTAAGTGAAAAACATTTTTACTCCCCCCACCCCTTAAATTTTATGTCTTTTGTTTTGGTGCTAAGAATGTTAAAAATACTCTGAAATGAAGAACTTTTTTCCCCTTTACCTCTTTTGGAGCTTCTTTTTCTATGAAATCAGTATATATTTTTCTTGCTTTTGAGGACAGCTTTTGGGGTGACTTGGTTTTTTTGAAGTCTTCACAGGCCAGCCAGAATTCAATATTTTCTTCACAAAATTCAGATTTTAAAAAAGCCCTGAATGCAGCAAGACCATCTGGGGGGGGGGGGGGGGCAGAGAAGAAAGCACACAGAATGTGAATTGAGTGACCAATTAATCTCTTATATTTTGTCTCCCAGAACTACCATTCCCCCCGCCCCGCCCATATTTTATTATTTCTGGATGATAGCAATTTTCTAGATTTCATTCCAGCCTCTAATCCTCAGAATTTAGATCTTTAAAAGCTAAATTTCTAGTAGGCAAAATGCTTAAGTTGGCACACTGCTACAAGAACATAAATAACTTTGCTGTTAATGTAAATATTTATAGGGGAGTCATAAATTCTCTGGGAACTAAACCTCCTGGTAACATTGCATGCAGTGGAAACGCTGATTCAACCTTAAGGAAGAGCCACTGCCAGTACAATCTAGGCTGATTTATGTAAAGTGAATAAACCACACTTGCCCATGGTTAAATAGAAATGAAGGAGAAGGATAGGCCTTATAGTACTAGTGATTGTAACGTTGAATTCCCCTTGGGCAATCTGCTCTTCTGTCATGTGAGCACCTTTCTAGGCTCTTGTGATACTTGAAGTAGATCAAATTCAACAGGTTAACTTACATTTACTGGCTAGCAGCTCATCAAATGCTTCCGACCACAGTTGTGCTTCCTCAGGGGAAGGCCTGCAAAAGAAGGTTTGCATCAGCTTGTGCACTTCACACTTCCCCTGTCCAGTTCAGCAGCTCGCTATTCACACTGGCAAGTATAAGACTTTCAACTTACTTGATGAAGGTTTGCTGTTTGCTTTTCTTGCCATTTTTGGGCTTCCCAGGAGAGGATGAATTTTGCAAGAAGTAGCTCAAACGGGTCTTCCAATCTTTTAATCTTAAACAAACAAACAAACAAACAAACAAACCTAACATTTGAAATTGCTCCTGCAGCTGAAGGCATTTTTACCAAATAAAGTCACTCAGTAGCGACCAACTAAATAAGACAAAGTAAGACCTCTTCAAGTCGGTCTCACTTATTTAACATTTAAACCTAGCACCTATGCACCGAACACAATTACTTTCATTCATGCATTTGAACATAAATACTACTTTTATAACTGAGGATAAAAGTACCTAAAATTACTAGGGTATTTAAATGAATTTAGTTTGCATACTTCAAATGGCAGACGCTATTTCTGGCCCACAAAAGGCAGTAGTTTTTCTGCAGCCTTAATTACAATTCTGAGACATTTCACACTTGATGAAACTGCCTGGAGCCAGCGGGTACTCATTTCCCTCCTACCCTTGGAGCAGGAGGCCCTGGACCACACTAGACGCAGTGAGGTGTGTGTGTGTGTGTGTGTGTGTGTGTGTGTGTGTGTGTGTGTGTGAGAGAGACAAAGAGAGAGAGACTAAGCCCCCTACTCCCACCACAGCACTCATTTTAAGCAGATGATGCATGCTCCACCGACGTTCCTGAATGATATGCCGTTTAATTTTAAAAAACAAAAACGATTTTAAAACGAAAATATTCAGAACCAGCTGAAATATCTCCATCCCACAAGCTGATCAAAACATACAACGCAAGGTACCAATGCTGGGGATGCACTTCAGCTGCAGGATTGTCTGATGTTATTTCAAATTCAGGGGACAAAAAGCCAGCTCGCAATTTCTTAGGCGCATCTACCACTGTCTCCGTATCAAGAATATTTTTTTCAGTTGCTAAACTACCCGAGAGTCCTTCGCTCACGTCACAAAATCGGCACATAACACACAGATTTAACCTTACTTAACGAATTGACCTTTCCCATACATATATATGGAAAAAAAAATATTTTTTCCTGCAGAGGCAAAGGTTTCATAGTTTCCTATGTCAAAACCGAGCCCGAATGTGTCGCGTTTGCAGCAGACCCGCAGAGCTAGGTCCGCAGCGGGTGGTGGGAGAGAGAAGAAAGCCGTACTCACAGGGTCCGCTTCATCTTCCCCCTCTTCTCCTCGCTCTTGGGGCTGTTGCCTGCGCTCTTGTCCATGGATCCGCAGTCGTGCTGGACAGCCAGGAACATGGCACTTTGCATTCTCCTCCTCCCGCTGGGGCCGCAGCTGTGTGCGGCCGGGCGCCCGCCGCCGCGGTTATAGGAGGTGAGGCGAGGGGGCGGGGCCTCACGCCTCCGGTCCCGCCTTCAGCGGGCACCGATTGGCCGGCTGCAGACGGGCAGGGGGCGGGGGCAGCCCCGGCCTGTGGCAGGCCCGGTGGCCCGCGAAGGGTCTCGAAGCGAGGCCTGCTGACGTCTATGGCCCTGGCTTCGTGCGCACTCGGGCCAGAGGCGGCGGCTTGCGGGGTTTGGTGTGGGATCAAAGACCTTTCGCAGCGACCTTCGTCTTGCGGTGGCGGCCCCCGGCGACGGCAGGGAGCCAAAGTTGGCTGCGGGCCCGGCGGGGGCGCTCGCCGTCTTCTCCCCTCCCCCCCGCCAGCCTGCTCCTGGCCGCGTTCGGGAGCGAGGATTCCCTGGCTGGCAGGGAAAGCTGCTTGTTGCGACCCAGAGTGCAATTGCCTTATTTCGAATTAAGGTTGTTTTCGCCTCATCTCTTGGTTTGTAAACTGAGGCCGTGGGAGACCCTCACCTATTCCTGTCTGCGACTCCGTTTAGTTTGGGGGGAGGAAACGAGGGAGGAACAGTGACGATTCGAGGGGCAGGTGCTGTGACCTACTCTGCAGCTTGCCGGGGCGTCTTGAACACTTTTGGCAATGAACAACAAAGCAGGGAAGGAACAGGAGAAAGTGACTTTCTCAGACGACAGGTTTTTTTTTTTTTACTGGGTGTGCACTTTTGATCACCAAAAGATAACGTGATTGGGATCGTATCTGTCCATGGGGTTGCGAGCTATTTCTCCGGAGTCCTTGGCTGCTTCTTCCAGAGCAGAAATCACAGATCGCTTTATGATGCGATAGAGGGAAACACCAAGACCTCGCAGCTGTAATGCGCCAGAGTCGTTGTACTTTCAGAGTGCAAGGATGCAGGATTTCCTCATGAGTCATTCCTGGTTGCTTAGAATTTACCAGAACACTTAATAACTTGCAAGGTGCGGGAGGGTGGGGAGTGGGGGGGGGGGGAGAGAGGAAGAGGAGACGTTAGTAGTTTAATAAGTTTAATTTGTTAATTCTTCAAAAATCATCTCTACCGTAGCCGGCTTTAAATGTTTTGATTGGGAAGGACAAATAGATAACCTCAACAAAATTATTTGACTTCAGGTAACATTAGCACTGTGCAATGGAATATTCAAATGGTTCCCCCAATTAAGCATCTAAGTAGATAATAAGATTAACAGCAATGTATTGATTAGGCTGCAAATATTCTCGATACTTTGCGTTAGCACTGCTAAAAGAAAATTGGAACTAGTTTAAACTTCTGAATGTGAGTTGCCAGAAGTTGGAACAACAAGGTTGGCTTGTAGGGTAAAATCTGCAATGATTACCAAAGAGAACAGCTAGGTACTTGATTATGGAAAGGAAAATCATTTAGATTTTAGTAATAGATACTTTAAAGCAGGTTTGGGAAATGTAAGAACGTTATGTTTTTCATGCATGCACTCTTTATCTCTAAAAGAACTTTCCATCTATTTCCATCTATTTTCACTTTCTGATGATTCAATGCTTATTTATTAAATACGTGTAATAAATAGGCATTGGCTTTTTCTTGCCACTCTGAACCTTAATACATCATTCACTTAGAACCTTGGATGGTAGAATTCATTCATAGTGGAATGGCCAGGAGTTCTGACAAAGAGGCAGCAAGGAGACAGACCTGGACTTGTGTCTGGAGACCTAATTAGAGTCTCAGCTTAACCGATAAATGCTAAGTAACTGTTGGGACTGTCTCATCACACCTCCTTGAGCCCCAGTTTCTCATTTGTGTTAAGAGTAATGTATCTTTCTTGCCAATCTCTTTAGATGTTACCTGACTCTTGTGATGGGCCTTTGTAAATTCTAAAGTACACAAGTTTGGTATTATTAATTTGCATCTGTGTGAAAAAGGAAATATCTAGAAGCATAGCCATTCAAGGTAGAAAAATCATTGAAGGATTAACTCAGAGTTAATTAGGTTATAAACATGTAATTACTATTAAAGTATCAAAATAATGTCCCAGAGATTTGTAACGTCTCGAGCTCATGACAGATACTTAATAATTTCTCTCTGGGTAATAAATAAGGAAAGTAAACAGTTTTCCATTTAAACTTTTCCAGAGATCTCCAAGCCAGGGAAATTAAATCGTCTCAATATATTCACAAAAGTGCATATATATGTATCCATGTAAGCAATTGGTCTAAATGTAGACTATTCTAGATGTTTCTGGTATTTATTCACTTTTTTCATAAACCATTTCAGATTGACAACTGATGCTAAGTAGCAGCAAATTATTTTTTTCCTGAGAATTATGAGGTCAATTGATAAATCCGAATGCATATTGATTTATCATTTCTGTATGTCTACGTAATTTTAGGAGTTAAGGCAATACCTACTGCAGGCTGAGAAACTCTTCAGTCAAAAAGCTGCCATGTTAATGTCTTTTATAAAGGCAGCAGACATTGTAGCCAAACAAAAGCTACAATGTTTGATGACTTCCCTTTGTTGTTTTTTTTGTTGTTGTTGTTGCAAGTGGCATTTAGGTAAAGGGATTGCTCAATATTAAGATGACACATATTTTCCATTCTGTGGTGGAGAGAGAAACAATGCAATAGGTTGTAAAGACTGCACAGCAAAACCACTGTTTGCTTTGCTGGAGAATATACATTTTCAATGTTAAATCTACCATGCCCTCTACTGGAGAGGTTCTCTGAACACATTAGTGGTAGAGGTTCTCAGTGTGGTTTTAGAACTTTTTGTATTAAAAAAAAAATTGCAGAAGAAGGCAAACAAAAAAACACAAGTTTCTAGCGCTATCAAAAGTAGAATTTGGAAAGCAAGAGTCTCCCCTGCTACAATTCTGCCCCCTCCCCACCACTGTATGCTATTAATAATAAGAATTGTTAATTATTATGAGCTAAACATTTATACATAAAAACTTTCATACTTAGGCTTTAGAAATTTAAGAAATAAGAGAAATGCTTTAAAAAACCACAGAAGAATAGTTCTGTGTATTACTCCATGTTTGTTTTTTTTCAGTCAACAAGATATCTTAATTATTAAATTTGTAAAAGGTGTAAACCTGTTGCTTACCTCACAAAATCGTAAATCGGTGGTAAGTTTAAAAGAAAGGGAAAAAAACACTTATAAGTTAAATGCTATGTGGCAAAGGGTGTGATGAGTAATTGGAAAAAATGAAAAGTCTTAGCACTGTAATTGTTGCCAGTTTTTGAGGAAGTGTGATACCTGCCTCCTCCTCCCCACCCCCCACTCTCCTTTCCTTACTTTTCTTTCTTTCAGAAGAGCAGGGTTTCATTTAACTTTAGTTGGTAAAACAGTCTTTTAACAGAATGAACACACAACCCGACAAGATTCTGTACTTTTCTTCACCCCTAATATGCTTTGAGATTTAAAAGTCATGATTAATGTCTTTCTTAAAATGTAATTTGCATACCCAGAAGCTGGTAAGAGTGAAAGTTAGTGTTTTTGTCATGAGTGAATCAGAGTTGAGCCTAATACTTGAATGTGTCATAGAGAAGTTAGTAGTTTCACCAATCTTTGAGTTGGTAATTCCAGATAGTGCCCTTCCATAGTTCTGCCTTCAATTCATCCATGGGATGGAGTATGTCATATTTCAAAAGCAGGTGGGGCCTAATAAGTTTGAAAACCCTTTCTTACTAAAGCAACTAGATTCTCTGTGAAAACCAGCATCAGGAGCATCATGATGTTATTGTTTTGTCCCCCAAAATAAAAATTCTGAAATGTATCGAAAATCTCTAATAGGTTTGTGTAGTTATTAGGCCTATAGGTTAAAGGACCAATTGTATGAAGTCTACATTAGGGGATTATTTCTAGGGGATGCTCTCTTCTGTAATGATGGGCTACACGGAATCTCAAGGGAGAGAGGTGATTATAAATGCCTTCTTATAAAATAAGTTACATAGGTACTATATCATCTATAAAGTGCAGAGTTAAAGCTAAAAATTTATTTCCTGGCATTTCTTCTGCTCGGGATTTTAATTTCTGCGCACAGAATTTTGTCAAATCATTAGAGTGTCAAGTGTCCCTATTGACTACTTTTTTGAAATTTGGGGATGTTTGGTTCATAATAGATTTCAAAGGTCTGTACATGATACCAATCACCAACAGTCTGTCTTTGTGTGTGTGTGTGTGTGTGTGTGTGTGTGTGTGTGTGTGTGTGTGATAGAGAGAGAGAGAGAGAGAGAGAGAGAGAGAGAGAGAAGGGTGGGGGGAAGGGCTGCTTTTCATCTAATAAATAACCTCTTTGCATTGGTATTTCCAGTTTACTGACTATCCGCATGTAGAAGTATTAATCAAGGTTAGATGTTGGCTTTCAAAGGTCTTTGATCCATGGACTACTTCGTAAGAAACTAAAACCTTGTGGATTTTCTCTACCAAAACACATTTTTTAAAACAAAAATTCTCAAATCTTAACAAAATTAATTGGAAGAACAATGCTTTCAAAGAGATACCAGTAGGCCTTGACACAACTGTTATCTTTTAAATATTGAAGTCTTAAATGCTGAGCTAATGGCACTAGACCTCAAAACATTCTCGGCTTCAAAAGATAAAATAATTTTGCTTTTCTTTGCATAGATTATTTTTAGGAGAGCAGGATGGTTGGAGGGTTTTTCCATAACTGGATGCTTACATTTTGTTGCCAGGACCTGGCACTATTTTGGTTATGATCTCAGGCAAATTGCTTAGCTTTCTTGTGCCTAGGCTTCATATCTTTCAGGTGGAAGTCATTATAGCAACATTCCTTTCTAAGGAAGTTAAAACAGTGTGGGGAATGCCCTGAGTGAAGTCGTGCAAAGGGGCTGGCTTTCAGCAAAAGTTTTCAGCAGGACTAGTTTTTTCTAGGAGACTCATTGCCAACTTGTTGCTGCTTTTGTAGCACCCACTATTTGGTGCTTCTCCTAGGGTATCATGTCTCCCGTTAAGGTAGAAGGGTAGAATGAAAAGCTTCTTTGGAGGATGCAC